CTCACTTGGAGTATTGCGTCCCGTTCTGGAGTCCCCAACATAAGAAGGACATGGACCAGTTGGAGAGGGTCCAGAGGAGGGCCACGAAGATGATAAGAGGGCTGGAGCACCTTTCCTATGAGGACAGGCTGAAAGAGTTGGGGCTGTTCAGCCTGGAGAAGAGGAGGCTCCGGGGTGACCTTATAGCGGTCTTCCAGTACCTCAAGGGGGCCTACAAGAAAGATGGGGAGAGGCTGTTCAGGAGGGCCTGTTGTGATAGGACAAGGGGTAATGGTTTTAAAATAGAGGGAGGTAGATTCAGGTTGGATATTAGGAAAAAATTTTTTACCATGAGAGTTGTAGAACACTGGAACAGGTTGCCCAGAGAGGTGGTGGATGCTCCATCCCTGGAGACGTTCAAGGCCCGGTTGGATGAGGCCCTGAGCAACCTGATCTAGTTGGAGATATCCCTGTTCCTTGCAGGGGGGTTGGACTAGATGGCCTTTGAAGGTCCCTTCCAGCCCTAATGATTCTATGATTCTATGAAACAGATAGTGTACAGAAAAGACTATATGCAGATCTGGAACAAACAAGGCTTGTTCCTCCAGACCATACAAGGCATGCTGTCACGGCTGGCCGCTGTGCTGATGCCCTGTTGAGTGCAATCAATTAAAGCTACATTTCAAATATTATCATTTGCTTCTTTCCTCACACTACTGAAACGGAACACACCACTCACCTACTAGACTGGGAGGCCATTACCATATCAATAGTGTCCACACCAATTCCCATGATGTTAATGACAGCTTGCCCTGCTTCAGTGTTGGCCAGGCTGAAGACGCACAAGGACTGAAGGCTGGGGGCATTGCTGTGAGAAAGGAACATGGGACATCATCTCTAGGAGCACTCACCATATTTTCCCAGCTAGCACTTAGAAAACTACCGCAAAGTAACCTCTTAAATTTCTATACCCCCACCAACCCCTACTTTATTCTTTCTTCTACTTTCTTCAGAGGGGATACACCAAACAGGAAAGTGGACAGCAGTCTGTCCCAGAAAATTTATTTACTGTTTTCTCTTTCTTCAGGTGTTCTAAAAGACAACATCTTTCTCTAACCTTTTTCTACTCTTCCTGTACTCAGTAACACTGAAAAGAGCTGAAACCAGCACTACATAACCATGCCAGTTCATTCCTAGTCATTTACATCCAAAAACTGAATCAAAAAGACAACAACAGAGCCCTTCTGCACTGTAAGCCAGGCCAGTGCAGATCATCAGATGCACATCTCCCGTCTTACCCGCTGCGAGGATCCATTTCGGGGCATAAATTCAGTATAGCATGGATCAACTGCAGAATAAGGCACCCTGAAACAGAGATGAAACAGACCACTCAGTTGAGGAAGATCTGTTGCCTAGTTCCTAATATTTTCAAACAAGTCACAGCATCTAGCGCTACTGGTAGACACACAAAGCAAATCCCAAATAGCTGCTAGAAAAGGCACGATAAAAAGGAGTAAAAATTCACGTATTCTGCCTGAGCAGACAGGTGATCCTTTTTATACTCTCCTCCTCCTTCTCTCCATCCTTACCAATTTTCTCTCTCACTCCATGACAGTTGTAACGCCATTTGTGGTAATTTGGTAACATTTCCTTCAGGACAAACACAATGCAAGGTACAAGTCCTTGGCTCTGGGTGCTACCAAGTTGTCCCTAGGAGAGACAGAAGCATTATTTTCTCCCTTCTGGTTAAAAGGACAAGCTTTTTGTGGGAAGATATGCCACATGTCTTTAAAGTGTGGGAAAACTATTGAGCATGGGGACATAGATTTACAAGTGACTTCTGTTGGTTTGTAGATCATAGGAATGAAAACAGTTTTTTGAAAGAATCAGACTACAGAGAAAGCACAAACAGTAGCACAGAGGGGAGTGTCAACCAGCGATTACTCATGGAGACCCACTGCACAGGGGATCTCGGACACAGCTGTATTTCACTTTCCTATTGTAACTGCTGACTTCACACGCAGACCATTCCAGCAGCACTCACCCGGACAAGAGTTGTGATCAGGTTCAGGAAGGAGATGGTGACACTGTACTCGCCTTGAGGCTGTTCTATGTTCATCAAAAGGTTTCCATAGCCCCCAGCGTTCATTCCCTCTGCACTGTGAAACGAGCAAGAGGGTTTATTACATGAATAGTATGACTCTGACACGAGTGAGAGACATCAGATGCACAGATTTCACACTGGCAAAAAGTTCTTATGATAGGTTATGAATGAGTTAAGCAAAAAAAAAAAAGGGCTGAGGGATCATGAATACCTAATCATGTGATTCATACTGGACACTGGGTTGGCAACAAATGGTAAGAACCCTGTATGGTGAAGGTCAGTCCAAACCTGCAAGAGGAAAAGTACAGATATTTCCTCTCATTCACATATACATGTCTACAAGTTCTGAAACCCAGCAAACTCAGGTCATTTCCTCACCTTGGCTGGCATTCGAGCAGCCAGTACTGTCAAACAATTGACACAAGAAGCAATAACATCCACGGGAGGAGAGATTACAGTTGTCAGCCTAGGAAAAAGAAATATTATGCATAAAAGCACTGCCATCTGTGGTCTAGCCTATCTATGTTGTTTTCATCAAAGCTTCTCTCTCACTACACAAGTATAAAACCTTAAAATACAGACACCAGAGTCTGAACTTTCAGTCTAGACTTGCCACCTCCCCCTCACGCGTGAGTCAGACCAATTTACTGCACGAGGCAAGGCTGGCAACCAGCAGGCTGGCAACCAGCAGGCTGTCACAGTGAACAAGAATTATGCAGGCAGTTAACACTGCGAGGAGAGTTAATAAGTGCAACTGTTTTAACACCTGGAAGTTACTGCTCTAGTTTTACTCCCCTTTCATGTAAATACAGCTAGCAATAAAAAGTGCTTTTTAACGGGTAAAATTGTACAGCATTCAGGAAAGAAGTGGAAGAGGGGCCATTCTGCTGCATCAAAGCATTAAACAGTGTGTAGCCAGAACAGTCTTGAGAACTGAACACCAGCCTTGGGGAGTTCAAGCACTGAGACATACTTGTTGCAAAGCTCTTGGCAAAATCAGCAATTAGCCGTTCTTCCAGCTCACTACAACTTCTCAGGTAGCTCCACCATTAGCGACTTCGTGCCAGTCAGTGACTTACCTCTGCAGGAGCATGTAGATGCGTGATGTGATTGGCAGAAGGCAATCTGCTATCGATGCATCAGTGCTGATGACTTTATGAACCAGATCAATTATTGGCTTGACCCTCTGGCAATGCTGAATCACATCTGGGTAAAGAAAACTAACACTAGAATGCGAAATCATGCTTAAGCAGTAATCAAATCAGAAACAATGCACATTAACCTTACCACACATCCCCATGATCACTCCCCATACCAAAAAACATTTATCTCAACTTTCCCTCATCTAAAATTTATCTCATCTCACTACATGCTCTTGGCCTTTTGCAATGAATTTTACAGTATTATTATAATAATTAAAAAATCAGGTTTCAGGGAAAGTATTCCATGCTCTTTCAAAAGTATTCAGAGCTGCTCAATCCTACTGTTAACCTCAAATTGATACCAATTAACAATTATTTATCCTCTTTTATACTCTCAGCCTATCTCACCTGCTGTTGATACAACATGGAGCAGCATCTCAATCTCGCAGGTAAACAGTGTCCAGCTGCTGTAGGAATATTCCCATCGTACCAAATAAGCCCGGTCATCCAGCATCACTTGGCCCACTGTTCCCTGAGGTATCCGTAGATTTGTTTGACCTAGTCCTAAAGATTGAAGAAGCAGGTGAAATAAATTCACAAATTTACCCTTAAGTTAGAAGCCAGATACAGAACCAAATTCCCCAAAGCATTTCAGTAAGAAAAGGTTAAATACAGTCTCCTTACCAAGAGGATAGAGGAGCTTTGGAGCCTGTCTTCGCCAAAGGGTGCCATCTTCATGAGAGATCACATCAGGAGGTTTATGCTTGTACAGCTCAATATAGAAGGACATTTTATCCAGGAAACTGTACACCTGCATACAGAGATAGCTTAAATGACACAGTCAAAGAGCCAGACCTTCTTAAAAATTAATCAACCAGGTCATTTCCAGGAATAGGCAAGTTTTCTTGAGATAGACAATATCCTTCTAATACATCAACCCTACTAAAACATCGTTAGACAGTCCTCATGTCCAGACAAGTCTGAGGTAACAAATCAGGAACTTCTTATGAGTAAAGTACAACCTGAAAAACTAGACAGTATCTTAGTCTTCATTCAGTAGACTTGATGAGTTTTCTAAAAGCCAGAAAACAGTTTCTTGCAACAGCATAAGACTAAAAAGGAGCCCTGTCCACTGCTCTTAGACAACAGACATCGAGGTTTTGTCAAAGATTGCAATTGAAATAAGCACATGTAATGGAAAGAAAGAATCACACAGAACTTTACCCCTTTTCTTAAAATAAATCATCTCACAAATACCAAGAAAGATCCTGTACCTTTTTTGCTGTAGATTTATCTGACACGAGGGCTTGGAGCAGCTGAAGAAAAGGAGTAAGAAGATGGGGGAACATCCCACAGACACTCTCCAGGATAACAGCCAGACCCATAGTAGGTTCCTGGTGGTGGAAACAGAAAACAAATGTCTTATGACTAAAAAGAAATGCTAAAATGGTCTCAGAATAGCACAAGGATACAGTTCCTTTTTGAGTTGTACGTTTAACATTAATCATGCACGAGAGTATCACTCCAGTCCTTGCACAGACTAAAGCACCAGGCAGTGTGCAAGTATAAGGCAGGAAGTAAGACTGTAATGCATTACACGTCATCCTAATTCTGTGACAACAAAAAAATAAGCACGATGCTTTTGCCAGCAGTTAGTTCAATCCTTGCAACCCCAGCCCTGGTTTAAACTATCACCTATATTAAAACTTGTTCCAGTATCCTTCAAGAGAAAAGCCAAGGCTGTACCTAAAAGGCAGGAAAGGGCAAAAGTAAATCAAAGATAGATACAAATGAACACTAACTCCTCAGGCCCTCCTAGAAACTAACTCCATACAATCAGTCTGTTCCTTTCCCAAAAGGGCATCTTTTATCAGGTTTTAGTTATAAGCAAGGTAGGTCAAAGCAGATGCCAACACACTCACCGACTTCCAGAAGGTCTGAGGAATGTTGTAAGCTGCCAGAACTTCACATGCAGCATCAATTATATCCTTCAAAGGAAGGGAGGACAGAGAAAATAAAAGTTACTTTACACAGGGAGATTTCATCCCACACAAGTTCAGCTGCAACTCTGGGATTTAAGTTTCCATGTTCACTAGTCAAGATGTAACTACTTCCTCCAGTCTAAACAGAAGGTTCAGCTGCAACTCTGGGATTTAAGTTTCCATATGTTCACTAGTCAAGATGTAACTACCTCCTCCAGTCTAAACAGAAGAAAACACCCAATGCACCCAAACCCAGAACACAAAGCCAGTCTAAAGCCATGCTCCTCATTGAGCATGGAGTGGCCAAGACTAATACATCCACTATATCTGCACGTCTCCTCCAACTTGGAAATCGAGTATGTATTATTTCCATCGCTCTGGAATTAACACATCAACTGTTAGTTTCAAATCCATACAACTTCAAGTGCAAGATAAGCTATCTTCATTATTAACCAGCCAGTCTGTAGAGGCATTTACTAGATTTGCATTGTAAACGCAGTATGAAAAACAGCAATTCACTCTTTTAGATCTGTCACATAAAGTTTGCAGTCTCAAATACAGGATTACAATATAACAAAAGTAATTAGCATCAGTTATGACAGGTTATTTTAAATTAGGTAACAGACACAATGAGCCTTGGATGCTCACCTGCTGATTGCCCAATGTATGTAATTCCAGTGATGTCAGGACAAAGGAAAGAAGCCCATACACACACATAGAAGCTGTGCTGACAGTACACTGGGAAGAGAGAACAGACAAGGCCTTTATAGGAAAGGCTATGGATCACAGGACACACTGTAATTGTACTCAGTCTCCTTTACAAACTGTGGGCACATCTGAGTAACTGCCTCTTTCATACATCCTTGCTGCCATCAGCAGAGGGGCAGCAAAATACGTCAGTTAAGCTCCACATAACATGAAATATTTCACTGAAATGAGGAATCTTGCCACTACTGTCATCAGTAGAAATGCCTTCAGAATATCAAAAAAGGCAACACTCATGTGTTGACAGAAATCAAAAGGATTTGCTTTCACAGGTTGCTCTTTACAAAGTAGTTTACTCTCATACATGGTATTGTCTAATAAAACCAGGTATGAAGAACAGTGCTAGTACTCAGGACCTACAATGGCAAGCACATCTATTGAGGCATATCAACAAATGTGATTAAATGCAGTCTCTTCTGCCCAAAAGAGATGTAGTTTCTCAACTTACAAAAGCATTTTTTTAATTATTTGAGCATAAAAATCTGTTTAATTTCTGCTCTTCCCTGAAAGAAGGTAAGATAAAACATGCTTTACTTCGCACTCTGCTTAAAGCCAGATTTACTTCGGAAGAACACTGGTTCACAATCATCTGCTTCCCACCACACCTTTCATCATTAGTAGTTAAAAACCTTCAAGAGCTTATATACATGATTTGAAGAAACTCACATTCTTCCCCACACTGCTCAGCGATCGCAGAAGCTTTGTCAGATACTGGAAAATGTTCAGCTGGATGGCAGTGCTGCCGATTCTGCTGATGATGTTTGCTGACTCCTCCGGGTTTACAGTGTGACGGAGCAGAGCCCAGGCCAAAAGCACTGGAGCATGATGTGAGACATCTCCTAACTGCAGCAGCTGATTGTCCATCTCCTGCACAGAGGCAAGACAACAGCAAAATAACTGAAATCTTCTGAAAGAAGCTCAAATTCACCAAGCATAATGCTGACCGCAGCTTCTTGCTAACAGTCATCTGTCCCTTGCAAATAATTATTTCAAGCATGCAACTGACCAAATTATTTACTTGAAGCCTCGATCTGTTTTTCTACATAGTTTACTGACTTATAGTTGGTCTAACATCAGATGATCTCCGTCCTAAAAGCCCTGACACTACAAATCTTTTGCTTCCTTCCCTTCTGGAAAGCTCACACTGCCTATTTCTGTGCACACACCTTTCTTTAGAGAAACGTCCAAGATAACCAAGGAAATAAGTGGGAGAGGAATTAATTCCATTCTTATTTGCCCCAAAATGTTATGTGGATGCTAGTTCTTACATTTCATCAATGAACCCAAGGACCAGAAACTTACAGACAGAATCTTTAAACAGTACTGCTTGGGTAACAACAGTAAGCTCTGTATTGTTAGGCCTGATGAGGGGTTACTCTGCCAGTGTTTTACCTGGTGGATGCGCTCATTATTGGCTAACTTGTGCCCCTCCGTCCTGCCATCCAAGGCCCGCTCATGGAGGGTGTCGATTTCCATGCCTTCCACCAGAATAAGAGCACTAAAATAGCTACAAGCAGGAAAAGAATAAAAACAAATAGGTCAGAAACTTTATTTAAGAATTCAGTGGGTTTTCTTAAAATTGCAAGTGGTCAAAAATCAACCTTTTGCAACCTGTTCTCTGAAGCAATAAGAAATTGCACGAAATTAACAGCAGGTAATTCAAATTTTGTCTTGAAATGCTAGTATATGACAGATTGCAATCTTCAGAACTACCATTTCTGGTTGCACAGACAAAAAAAAAAAAAGTCACTGAAATTTGAAGATAGTTTTTCCACCTTTGTAACTCTCGGCCATCTGGCAGGATTTTCATCCCCCCTGGGGGCAGCTCGAGTTATGTCCCATGCAGCAAAATGAAGACATTACTGTCATTTTTGTAAGCAGATCCACAATAGGTTGCACTGAGGCTACACAGTTAACAATACAGGTCGGAGTGAGAGTGCTAGCCTCCACGCAGGCAGCCAAACTCCCAGCACAGGACTGTGAAGACACGATTTCATCTTACCACTAAGGACCATCTAAGGAGGAGCAGTACTGTGTCTGCGTTGCCATTCTTACTAGAGGCAAGATTATGCACTAGATTAAAACCAGTATACGGACACCTCTCTACTTTGCAACACCTTTCTACACCTTTGTTTTGCCACAAACCTCCAGTGTGACCAGAAAAGCTATTCTGCCTTCATCACGGTAAGCTTAGCTTGAAATAGCTGTGATTTTAAGAGGCAGCAGTAAGAATTATAAGTACTTTTTTTCCTGGGGAAGCAATTGTTTTGTTCTGTACTCTCTTCACAAATATACATAGAATCACAGAATCAGAGAATGTTAGGGATTGGAAGGGACCTCAAAGGATCATCTAGTCCAATCCCCCTGCTGGAGCAGGACCACCTAGATCAGATCACACAAGAACACATCCAGGCGGGTTTTGAACATCTCCAGGGAAGGAGATTCCACAACCTCTCTGTGCAGCCTGTTCCAGTGTTCTGTGGATACTGTGTGGATACATGATACTCACCCAATACGATCCACCAGGTGATCCATGCTCTCATCTACCAAATGTCTGTTGGTTTGCCTAGTGCCAAATCCCTGTTCTTTGAACATCTTTGCAAATGCCAGAAGATCATCAGGTGCCATTTCAAAGTATGCATGGTAGAGGAAGATGACTTCCAGGAGCATGGACTGTTCACGGAGGCATTGCACAAACCAACGGGAAACCTGACGTTCTGTCTGCACAAGGAAAAGTTCTACCATCATATGTTGAAGCTCACAGGTCAGTCAAAGCGGTTAGAAAATGACAAGTGTTGGAGTATTTCAACAGCTTGTGTAGCCAGTGGTTTGTATCAATGGCACAGAAAGCCGCTGTAAATACAGAGCGTGCTGATGCAGAGAGATTACCAACAACTACACGCAAATGGACGTTAGCCTAGAACTATCAATTAACGTATCAGAAGGAATAATATGTTCCATGCAACTATCTCTGTTTCTGAGTAAAAGTGTGTTCTGTTAGAGAGAAAATAAATTTTACGTTTCTAGGACCAGGAGAAGCATCCTTTTTAACTTCATCTGCACATACGCATTTTCCAATACACTATATAAGGAAAGACTTTGTAATTTGGTAAATAATAGCAAGAAACAAAATACCATGAGATTTCCATGCGTTTCCCACGTAGGAGCTTCTGCTTTGTACAGCGCTTCAAACTGTTTCAGGTAATTAGGAACTAGCTCCTTCTCCAACTTTTCAACGCACTGGGAGTATTGTGCCTTAAATAAAAAAACAAATAAATGAACTTCTCGCATGCACACTCACGTGCTTTTTACAATCACAAGTGGAGGACTACCACATAACTTAGACATTTAGCCTATTTCAATGGCATCACATCCAGGAAAAGGTTACGGTACTCACTGAATACGGGTGCCTCTCATCCTGAAAATAAGTGAGTAGGTGGAGGACGCAGCGCAGAATGCAGATCCTCTCTTCATAGTAATAGTCAGCAATCTGTGAATATATTGTGTCACCAGTATCAATCTGGTATCATGTCCAACTCCCATACACCGCCAAGGCCTTCATCACAAGAATATATGTAGCGTTCAAACACTACTACAGATGGAGTTTCAACTAAGCAGTTTTTAAGTTATTCAAAAAAAAACCAACACCTTAATTAACTTTACAGAATTCAAAACACACCTATAGGGATACGTCTACAATTACACCGCGAAGTGAGAAAATTTGGGAAAGAAAGACAAAAAGACAGAGTGAGATGATGTCTCATTCCTCATCCCTATTATCCTCTGTCAGATATGATCACCAGTCTCCATTTCAGAGTTGTCACGTCAGACAATACATAAAAATCCATAAGCTTTGGAAAACATGGGAGCATACATCTGCCCAGCTAAATTCCCTGATGCTAAACCTAAAATTTCCTTTCTGTAGCAACTGTTAACACTGTTCAAATCTTTACGCACATCCCTCTACTCCAGAAGCATCTTCTACAACCTGTTCTTTCACAAAAGAATACTTCAATTATTCCAAGATTTTCTGGATCTACAGAAATTAAGTTGTTTCTCTGTCAATAGATCTTATCAACAGAAGATACAAATGGAAATGACTAACCTTCAGCATCAGAGCCTGACTCTGCCTTTCATCCTGAAGAATTGTCTGTAAGCAAAGCATCACAAAATAAAGAATTATCTACTGCAGAAACACATACTGACAAAACACAGACTCACAAAAAAAAAAAGACTGAAAAGGGCAAAAGAAAATTTCTCTTTCCATTTGTTTTGGAGAGACAGATTCCAAAAGTACAAAGCCAAAATACTCATTTGTAACTACATATTTGTTCTTCCTCTCCACTTACTCTCCTTCACAAATGTGTAGCTTTCCTGTATTCCTGTGATAGAGAGAGGAGCTGAGTTCCTGCAGAAAAATTCAAGCAGGAAGACGTACTAGAAAGTTCAGCCTGGATTTCTGCTATCACATCTCTTTAAAGCAGCACTTGAGCATTGTAGGTTCAGGGAAGAAAAGCTACAAAGCCATTTCCAAATCAGAACTCAGACTCGCATGTGACCACATGCATCAACAAACTACTGGTATTAAGGAAAGATGTGGAGTAAACAGAACATAAATGGGAGCTATGGACCTTCAGGGAGTCCCTCGTTCCTCTGTAATCCCCTTGAAGAAAACACTGTAACAACTGCACGCTCTGCTCTTCATTCAGACCCTGAAAAAGAGAGAGATGCTCTGAAATTAAGTAATTCAGTTGCCTTTTATTCAAGATAAAGATTCTCTCTAAATATTCAGGCAGCCCTTCTCTTCAAAACAAATAACTTCCAAAATATGACAAAAGAAAATTTTTTGCATCAGACAAATGCTTGCTTTAGTCAGCACTTCTATTTCAAGCAAAATATGTAAGCTTTGATTCACTCAGATGTAGCCAAAAGGAGTATAACAGTGATTTTCAAAAAAGGTAACAGCACCAGTCACCGCTGAGGGAACATAACCCTGCAGGAAAACCAACAGGATTTTTCAAACATGGCAGGGACATCAGTTTTTAGCTGAGCAGTTTCAGATGTCTGTAAAGAACCCAAGAAAGTCTAAAAACAGGTGACTGTTTCTGAAAAAAAAGGCCCTTTTTGCAGCAGGAGGAGGAGTTAACCAGGAAAACTGAGGCACCTCAACATCACTAATCACTTTTTTAAATTTTCACCTACAGCCCCAACATGTAGTTCTAATACCCTTTAGATTATTTTGAACTGAAAGGAATTTAAATTTGCCTCTATTGAACATCATGAAGCTTACTTAAATAACAGAATCCCAATAACAATGCATTCCAATTGCAAGGATAAAAAATAATCTGAATAGCACCTTCACTCACCAAAAACTTGCTGACTCTCAGTCCCAACTCTTTTAGTGGAGCAGCTATACTTTTGTCAGCTTTTATTTTTTCTGCGGAAGTCGTACTATTGAAAAAAGAAATCTTAGTCATGAAAAATACAGCAATTCCAAGGAATGAAATAAAGAGGCTTAATTTCAAAGATCTCAGTTTTATCAGTTTACACTTAACATTTGCTTTTTCCTCAATGGCCTTTCAATATTTCATACAACAATATTCTGCCATCTTCCCACCAGACAAAACTTAACGTTGCTCGCAAATATTCCCACAATAAACACAGGCTATATTCATTCCATCTGCTCCAATGAGGGAATCTGGATATCCTTCCAAGATGACTGTTAACAGGAGTCACTTCTCCACAGGCTGCCCCCTTGCACATGATGGCTCCAGCTCAGCCGTGGCAAGGGTTGAGAGCAACCTAACGTTAGTAACGACAGCAGAAACTGCTGTTACTTCTTTCTGGTCTGTATTTCATGTCCCAAAATGTTACGTGGATTAAGTACTTTCTCCTACTATTCCTCTTCTGAAATCTCAAGTCACGCAAGAGAGTAAAAATCTACTTTTATGTAATCAGAGAGAAATATTCAACATGCTCCTCTACTTACTAGGAGACCCCATTTTGGAGGTTAATTTCTCAAATCAGGCAATCACTATACCTTGGTGGTGTATAGTATGAGAGTCCTTCTAACAATCTCTGCCAGTGCTCGCTCAATTCTGCTGCAATCTGTGCCTAAAAAAAGAACCCAATACTACTGAACAGAGTCCTCAATGCACACTGCCAAGTATCAGATTTGTTAAATTTAAGCAAAGTAAAGAAACTCCACCACCACAGTGAGACAGGAACAACACAGGACGAGCATCTATGATTCAGACTGATTCAAGGTGCGCATTGTATGAGAAAGCTCACTGCCTGCCTAATCATGGGAAGGGAGAGGAAATAGGAGGTGATGGACTAAGTTCAGAAACATTTGGATTTCCAACCTCTGGGCAAATTCTTGAAAGCACGGGCTCTGTCACAGAAAATACGGAAGCAGGCTGTACCACTCATGAATACCCCAGGTCAGCCAGTCTAGAAAGTAGCACTTGTGTCCACTCCAGAAAGGGAACCACCTTTTCACATACACCCTTCCAGGTAGCTCACGAAGCAGCTATAAACAAGGAGGGGAAAAATGAACAAGGAGTGGAGATAGAGGAACAAAAATTGCACCAAGGAAGAGAGAAAAGCAGCAAAACACGTTCTCGCTAATACTCAAACATATGTACAAGTGACATATTCAGCCATGGAGTCCACTCAGTGACAGGCAAGTTTACTCAGGAAGACACGAACTTACTGCTTCTCTTAAAGCTGATTTGCCCAGAAGAATTGTCCACAATTCTCTGCTGCTCCTGTAGACAAAGGAAAAAGGTGGAGAGTACTTTAATGACGAACACTATTTCGGGATTCCCGTTAGCTTACACCTTTTCAAACCTGCAATTAACTCAGAGCAAATCCTACTGCAATACAAGAAAACTGATTTAAGGAACACTAGGTTTTAGCTAACCAGTTTCAGATGTCCTGGAAGAACCCAGGGAAGACCCAAAGAGGGTGACAACTGATATAGTAAGACTTGCAAACTCATATCAAAGCAGCATCACATTTATGTCAGTTTATTAGCTCAATTTAATTTTGCTAATTAGATATTTAAGGTTAGTAAAAAGAAATCTAATGAAAGGACAGAGCAATATTTTATCCAATTACATTCAATGCCCTCCTCCAAACAAATTCTTCCGTAACGGTCTCATCCTTCACTCTAAGCGGAACACAAAACTGAGTGAAGGAAAAAACTGCAACATTTTTACGTAAGGTAGAATGATTTGCCACTGGTCTTCAGAACTTTTACCCCTGGTTTCTTGTTTCTACCTGAGAACTCTGCAGAAAAGCCAATCTGCACTATAAGGTATTATAGATCAAATCCTGACCCTGGCATATGCATCCAGAAAAATGAGTCTCCTGCAACAGCTCTGAAAAAGGATGTTTGCCAAAAAGAATATTTCAGGAACTCAGACAAATGCTGAGTTGATAGCAATGTAATACAAACCAGGAGCTAAACACCATAGCTCCCCACGCGAAGACTGTCTACAAAAGCAAGAACACTCGTTGACTTATTTTTAGAACAGCATCATCAAAATAACTCACTACGGCAGTGAAAGTCATCTGCGACTTCTGACACACGGTGCCACTTAAAAGAATGATAAGACCTGTTATTTCCAGTACACCTGTCAACATAATTTCCACCTGCTAATTCCCTGATTGTCAGGCGCACCTCCCTGCGCACAGGCTAACAAACCCCCACCACTGGGTTGCCATCCCGCTGCGGGTGAACCTCTCCAGCACACGCAGAGCACCGAAAGGGCACCACGTTTTACCGAGAAAAGAATGGCTTTGTACAACTGAGCACCAGCCTAGCGGAGCCAACCTTTTCCTTTTCACTCCCCCAACCTCTTCTGCGAATAAAACAGAGCACGGCTTGTTGCCCCTTCGTTAATTAGTCTCCAAGATGGCTGAGGAAGGAGAGCTCTGCTTATGGAACAGCGGTGCTCCTGTCCCCATTAGCACTTGTGGACATTCATTCAGTAAGAATTAGGCATCTAGGAACGGACGTGACACAAAAACGTGACAATAAACGTGAAAAACGTGCTCAGGACAGGCGAAGGCGCTGATCGGAAGTGACCGCCGACCCTGGCACTCATTGATTACCTTCCTTGATACATCTTCCCCATCTCCCCTTCGCTTTTGACACTTGCAAAAAGTTGCCCAAGAGGTGCCCACCAGCTCCGGAACGCTCAGCC